ACCCTCTGCTGTCCCCTCTCCAGCAGTTCCCTGTCCTTCTGGAACTGGGGAGCCCAGAACTGGTCCCAGTGCTCCAGCTGGGGCCTCCCCAGGGCAGAGCAGAGGGGCAGGATGACCTCCCTCCACCAGTGGCCACGTTCTTCTTGATGCCCCTCCAGGAGACCTTCTTGGCCACCAGGGCCCATTGCTGGCCTGTGGGCATCCCTGTTGTCCCCCAGCACCCCCTTGGAGGGGGTGGGTGTCAGGAGGATGGGGCTGGTCTTTTTCCAGTGGTGCCCAGGGACAGGACAAGGGGAAATGGGCACAAACTTGACCATAAGAAGTTCCATCTCAACATGAGGAGGAACTTCTTTCCTGTGAGGGTGGCAGAGCCCTGGCAGAGGCTGCCCAGGGAGTGGAGTCTCCTTCTCTGGAGACATTCAAACCCCCCCTGGACACGTTCCTGTGGGACCTGCTCTGGGTGGCCCTGCTCTGGCAGGGGGTTGGACTGGGTGATCTCCAGAGGTCCCTTCCAACCCCATATCGTTCTGTGACTCTGTGAAAGAAGGTGTGACTCAGCTGGAAGGAATCCCATTCCATTTGAGAAGTGAATATCACAACGGGCTGCACCGGGAGGACCTGGACCCCCACACGGGGAGGGGGAAGAGCTTAATCCCACCTTCATCCTCGGCCACCTCATCCCAGCGTCGTCGGTATCAGCACATCAGGTTCTGGAGCTCCAGAGAATTCATCATTCAAAGAGTTTCTCAAGCAGACGCCTTCTTTTGTTTTGTGGGAGAAATCCAAACCTAAAGAAGCTTTTCAGGATTTTTATCAGGAGGAGCCTGAAAAGCAAGGAAAGTACTTCATTTAATTAACTTTTAATTTTTTTTCCTAGCTGTTGTTTGGCCAAAGGGCTTCATTTTTAATGAAAAACCGGAGGAGTGGTTTTGACGGCAGCGACGCCGATGCAGAAGAAGTTGCCCAACCAGGCTCCAGGTGGGACTTTTGTCACCGAGGTGACACAGCATGACCCTGACACCAACGGGCAAAAGCTGCTGGGAAAGGGACTAGAAAAATCACATTTTTTAACTCATCTATTCCCTTATGGGGCATCTCAAAGGTGGGATTTTGCAGGACGTGGGGAACTGCAGGAGAAAGGAAGGCTGAAGGCCCGGGAAGAGGGAGCTGGAGAAGGGATGTCACCCGGAGGGGACTCGGGATGAATCCCCCCCGTGATGCTCCATGGGATGGAGCTGTGAAATCCTTTCCATCCCAGATGTTGGGGTGGCAAAAGCAACCCCTCCCCGGGGTGGCCAAGGGGGTCTTTTTGTGCTCTAGAGGAGCTTCTCGGGTGGGACCGTGGATGGAGGGGTTGTCTCAACACAAGAACTCTTGGAGTAAGTACCAGCTGGTTGCTCCGTCCATCAGCAAATAAAAGGCTCTATTTTAAATCAGCGTCTTGCCAGGAAGAACAATGTTTAAACAGTTCCATTCTCTTCCTCAGGAAAATAAATAACTGAAATACCAAGGGGGAGGGCGAGCTCCTGGGGAAGATGCTCTGCTCTCCAGGAGATCTGCATCCCTGGGGACAAGGGGGAGGAGAAGGGTTTGGATGATGGTGGAGGGAGGTGCAGGAGAAGGTGTGGTTGGGGGTAGAAGAGCAGAAGGGGCTGGCAGCATCCCTGCTTGGGGTGAGTTTTGGAGAGCCCCCAGCCCACATCTCCCTCCACACCTTCCTCTGAGATCCTCTGTGGGGCTGGGGTCTGCACCCACCGCTGCCCCAGCCCTTTTTTTCCCCAGAGTTGATACAAATTCTGATTTTCTATGTATTTCATAAGCACTAGAGGGCTGCAGAGAACTGCTTTTTGCAGCAGCAGACACCAATGGAGGCTCCAACCCTCTCGGCTGCCGCTTGCTCTGCTCCTCAAAGGAGAAGGAGGACGCCTGGTGTGGTTCTCCTGACCCAGGAGGAGGAGATGGTGGTGCCCAGATGCAGCAGTTGGGAAGCAGCGCCCACAGTGGGGTCATCCCCGGGAGGGCAACAAGAAATGGGAGGTTCTGCTGCTAAATGATGAAATAATTCAGGTTTGTCCCCAGGCCAACCCCTCTGGTTTGTCCCCAGCCCAACCCCTACATGGCCTGTTGGGTTTTGAGTATGGCCAAGAACCATACTCTTACCTAAAAACGCCCTTTCTCTCGTGTGTAAATGGACTCCCTGTATCTCAATAGTTCAATTTCTTGCCTCTTGTCCTCTCAGTGAAGGTCCTTGTGAAGGGTCTGGCTCCATCCTTGGGCTGTGGCCACCACGGTGCTTGGATGGGAGTGACTGTGCTGAAGGACAACGCTCCGTAATTCATTAGAAAACAAAACCTAGAAAAAGTTGAGGTATTGAGTTAAAATCAGGAGATTGGCCTAGAAAGGGCCCCATGAGACTGCGAGACCAACCCTTGCTGCCCACACTTGTCTGTGCCCATGGCTTTTCCTAATTTCCAGCCTTCATCCCAGTTGTGGTGGTGCCAGTGCCATCACCGGATGGTTTGGGTTGGAAGGGATCTTAAAGCCCCCCCCCTCCAAGTGCCACCCCCTGCCCTGGGCAGGGACACCTCCCACCAGCCCAGGTTGCTCAAAGCTCCATCCAACCTGGCCTTGGACACCTCCAGGTTCCATGTTTCTCCTCCCTGGAGGTGCCCAGGACCCGTGGGACCTATAAAAACCAGTTGCCCAGTTCCTCAGCACTGGTTCTGCTGAGCTGCACCCACCTGGTCCCCCCTCAACGCAGCCACCCACCTCTCTGATCACAGGCAAAGTTCTTGGGTTATCTTCTGAATTTTCCTTTTTCAGTCCTTTCCATCAAAACCACCTTTTTAATCCATTTTTAGCCATATTCAAGCTTTCATAAGGCCATCCCTCTGGGGCAGCTTTAAAAACTAGACCTCGCAGGTCCTCTTAGTTTTCCACTCTGCCCCCAAGAAATTGGAGAACCTTTATAGACACAAATTACTATTTCCAGCAAACAAATTTTCCTGAAAGCCCCCCAAATTTGAGGTGCCCCCTCCCAGCCCTTTCCCTCATGAAATCAGGGAATGGTTTGGGTTGGAAGGGACCTTGAAGACCACCCAGTGCCACCTCCTGCCCTGGGCTGGGGACACCTCCCACCAGCCCAGGTTGCTCAAAAAATAATTGAGTTTGGTTTTTTTTTTAAAAAATAGAGTTTTGTCTTGACAAAAGTCATTTTAATGGGATTTTCTTTCCCCCAGTTTGCCACCAGATGGCACGGACACACCGGGGGAGCGGGGAAGGAGAGCGGTGGGTCAGCCCTGGGCAAGGGGATGAGGGGACAAGGGGACGAGGGGACAAGGGGACGAGGGGACAGGTCCATCCTGGGATCCCCCTTCTGCTGCTGGAGCAGAAAGAAAGAGGCTTTAAGGTAAGTTTCTCTTCATAATAATTGAGCATCTTTCCAGAATATATTCCCTTTGATTAAAATGATAATAGGAAAGAGGTTTTCATGAGATCTGGGCGGAAGAAGTTCTTCGCTGTGAGGGTGGTGAGACCCTGGCCCAGGTTGCCCAAGAGAAGCTGTGGCTGCCTGTCGTGGTTTAACCCCCTCCTAGAAGGATGGGGAGGAAAAAAAGGATGGAAAAAAAAAGCCTGAAAAAAACCCAACAACCCTTGTAGGTTGAGATAAAGACAGTTTAATAGGATCAATAATAGAAAAGGCAAAATAATAATAATAATGATGATGGGGTCACTCAACATCTGGGGAATTGGTGCCATCCCGAGCACCGACCACCAATTCCTGCCCCCGTTTCTACACGGAGGGTGATGTCCCTGCTGTGGAATATTCCATTGGCCCCTCCATCCTTCCCTCTGCTCTCCTGTGGGAAGCTGGAAAAAGTCCTTGAGGAGTGTAAACATCACTTAAGCAACAACCAAACCCAACAGGGATTATTGATGTTCCTGTCGCAGCAATCCCCCGAAAGAAAATCAACTCTTTCCCAGCTGAAACCAGGGGGATGTCCCATCCCTGGAGGGGCTCAAGGTTGGACAGGGCTAGGATAAAGCTGGGCTGGTGGGAGGTGTCCATCCCAGGGAAGGGGGTGGGACTTGGGGGGCTTTAAGGTCCCTTCCAGCCCATTCCATGATTCGGGTTGACAACTTGGCCATGGGGCACCAACGAGGCCGTGTGTTCCCTCTCCCCCCGTGTGATGGTGTTTTACCCCCTACATGGGGGGGCTTCACAGTGGCCAAAATTGAGACCAAATCCGAGCCAGTCCCATGAGAAATAACCCATCCCTAAACCTGTGCTGTTTTCTCTTCAAATTCACTTTCTCAGTGGGGTTTCTCATGAGGAAAGTGACCTTCAAGGAGCCCTGGAGGCACCAGGAGGGGGTGAGGACAGTGCCCAGGCTCTGCCACCACCTTCTGCTCCCCCCAAATCCTCACTCTACGAGTGGTGAAGGGACAGGGAGGGGTGACAGCGCAGGGGCTGGCGCGTTCCCCTCTCTATTTGCCACCAAAAAAAGCCAAAAAAAGGTGAAGATCCCCAGCAACTCCCACCCTACCTGGGTCTCCCTTCTGCTGATGGGAAGCGCTCCCCTTTGGCACCTCCTGATCCCTTCCTCCCAGTGCTAAAAACGCTGATGTTGGCCCCAAACAACACAAGGTGCCTTCAGAAATAGCTTTTTTTAAAATTTTCCTATATATTGATAAAGGGAACTGCTCTGATGCTCGTTCCTCCTGGTGGTTACGGACTTCACGGGGGTTTTGCTGCTCCTCCTGCCCTGACCACCCTCAGGAGATGTTTGTCTGAGGGTCCCAGGAAAGGGTTTCAGCATCTTTTCCCGGGAGGATCTTCCCAAATTGGTAACGCAGCTCCATTAATTGCAAATTAAGCCACTCATTGCCTTAGTGGCTACGGTGTCTTGGCATCGTGACACACGGAGGTATTTCAAGCTGTGGTCCATCCTACGGTGGTCTCGCCGCCTTCTCCATCCTGGCAGGAGCTCCTGGTCCCTCCCGTCTGCCGACGTCCTTCCAAACACGTGGTGACCCCAAGCCCCACGTTTGACACACAACGTGCTCCTTCACCCCCTTCCACATGATCCTTGGGGTCGTGACACACGGAGGTATTTCAAGCTGTGGTCCATCCTACGGTGGTCTTGCTGCCTTCTCCATCCTGGCACGAGCTCCTGGTCCCTCCCATCAGCCGACGTCCTTCCAAACACGTGGTGACCCCAAGCCCCACGTTTGACACACAACGTGCTCCTTCACCCCCTTCCACGTTGATTTTTCTGTTCCTTTTTTTTTGGCATTGGCTTCTTCTGCGGGTTCTCATCCCTTTCTGCCCTCTCACTGCCTGGCCAGATATTTCCCCCGTTGAGTGTTTCTGCCCCCACCTGCCTTCATCTTCTTGATTCCTCTCCACTCCTGCCTGTTTTTCCCATCAACAGGCTCTTCTTGAGTCATCAGTCTGTCCTCCAGAAGGCTGGATGCTTCCCCTTCTCCCAGCAGGAACATCCACCATGGGACGGGCTCTCCAGTCACACCCTGTTTGGAGACACAAACCCCAATCATAGAACCACCTGGGTTGGAAGAGACCTTTCAGATCATGGGAGTCCAACCATCAACCCAACTCTGATGAAAACCATCCCTAACCCATGTCTCTAAGCACTAGGTCAACCCAACTTTTAAATCCCTCCAGGGATGGTGACTCCACCACTGCCCTGGGCAGCCCATTCCAAGGCTTCACAACCCTTTCCATGAAGGAATTTTCCCCAATATCCATCCTAAACCTCCCCTGGGGCAACTGGAGGCCGTTTCCTCTTGTCCCATCGCCTGTTCCTTGGGAGAAGAGCCCGACCCCCCCTGGCTACACCCTCCTTTCAGGGAGTTGGAGAGAGCCAGAAGGTCTCCCCTCAGCCTCCTTTTCTCCAGGCTGAACACCCCCAGCTCCCTCAGAAGTTCTCCAGACCCTTCTCCTTGTGCTCCAGACCCATTTCTCCCCACCCCCGACCCACAAGCCGGGTTTTGACGTACCCTGGTAAATGTTATGCCTTGAAAAGACCCCCACATGAATAAAAAATCAGGGCTGTCGCTCTGCCGTGCTCCTTTTAGAGAGAAATCGCTTAAAGCAGCAAGAAAGATGTCAAATCTCGGGACTCTGGGAGCCGGCGTTTGCGGGAGGGGGGAGGGAGATGGGGGGGGGTCACCGCAGTTGATGCTCATGAATAATGAATCTGACATTGGAGCCATGCAAATGTAACCTAACGAGCTCCAAACTAAATAAAAAACCTTGTTTGTTCCATCAGTCTCCTTTCCCAGCGCTCACGGGGGGACTTTTTCTTGGGGGGGATGGAGCCAATTTATTCAAAGAGGTGGAAGAGGGTGAGCGATGGAGAATATTGGGTGCCCTCAAGGTTCCTGGAGACCATAAACATGGGAGATGGTTCATGGGTTGAGGACAGAGAAGGATCCCCTCCCAGTTGAGATTTCCCAGCCTTCTGGAGCCACGACTGGACCCCGGCAGCCCCGGGAAACCCTCCCTGTCATCAGGTTCTTGCGGAGCAAATTATTTCGGGCTTCTCCTAATGAGCTGGTGACAGCCAGAAGTGAGAGACGGGATGTAAGAGAGTCGTTTAAGCCCAGTTTGGCCTTCACCTTGCTCATCTTGAGGCCTCACCTCCAGTTTTGGGCCCCCTACCATAAAAAAGACATTGAGGTGCTGGAGCGGGTCCAGAGAAGGGCGACAAAGCTGGTGAGGGGTCTGGAGAATAAGTCTTATGAGGAGAGGCTGAGGGAGCTGGGGGTGTTCAGCCTGGAGAAGAGGAGGCTGAGGGGAGACCTTATTGCTCTCTCCAACTCCCTGAAAGGAGGGTGTAGAGAGGTGGGGGTCGGTCTCTTTTCTCAAGTCACAGGCGACAGGACGAGAGGAAATGGCCCCTGAACACCAGGGGAGGTTCAGGCTGGATATTAGGAAAAATTTTTTCACTGAAAGGGTTCTCAGCCATTGGAATGGGCTGCCCAGGGAGGTGGTTGAGGCCCCATCCCTGGAGGTGTTCAAAAGCCGGGTTGATGTAGTGCTGGGAGGTCTGGTTTAGTGATGATGCTCCTTGTTTGTTGTGTGGGTGTCTATTTTTGTCAGTTAGGTTGACGGTTGGACAAGATGATCTTTAAGGTCCCTTCCAACCTAGAAGATTCTGTGATTCTGTGATCTCAGGGAGAGCATCGGCGCTTTCTGCACCCCCGGGATGGCGCGTGGCTGGTTTTGTGCAGCACAATTATGGAGGGACCAAAGTATTTAGAGTTATCAAAGAATCATCAAATGGTTTGGGTTGGAAGGGACCTTAAAGACCATCCAGTCCCTGGGATGGACACCTCCCACCACACCAGGTTGCTCCAAGCCCCCTCCAACCTGCCCTTGAACCCCTCCAGGGATGGGGCAGCCACAGCTTCTCAGGGCAACCTGAGCCAGGCTCTCACCACCCTCACAGCAAAGATGTTCTTCCCCACATCTCAGCTCCATCTTAGGTTTTCAGTCTTTTTTGTCTGGAGAAGAGAAGGCTGAGGGAGGATCTGATCAACACCTATAAATACTTCAAGGGTGGGTGTCAGGATGATGGGGCTGGTCTTTTTCCAGTGGTGCCCAGGGACAGGACAAGAGGAAATGGGCACAAACTTGACCATAAGAAGTTCCACCTAAACATGAGGAGGAACTTCTTGACTGTGAGGGTGGCAGAGCCCTGGCAGAGGCTGCCCAGGGAGGTGGTGGGGTCTCCTTCTCTGGAGACATTCAAAACCCCCTGGACACGTTCTGTGGGACCTGCTCTGGATGGCCCTGCTCTGGCAGGGGGTTGGACTGGGTGATCTCCAGAGGTCCCTTCCAACCCCACATCATCCTGTGGTTCTGTGTGGAGGACACAGAGGTTCCCACACAAACAGGACCCCTCCAAAAAGCCCCAAAGGTCACGCATCCTCATCCCACCGGCTTTACCCCTACAATGGAAAGAGGAACCCACACGCCTGCTCCAAGAGCATCCATCACCCTCTAAATCAGGCAGAAAAGCTCCGTTACCATCAGACAGAAGATCCATTTTTGCTGTCCCTGCCCTCCTCGTTTCCCCAGCAGATCCCAGAGGAGCTCTGGAAACAAGAAGAGATGGGATGAGAAAAGCTCATAATTGCCCAGCGTTTCCCTCGGCGCCGGCACAACGGTGTTTACTTTGATGAGGAACTCGGCGTTTCCAGCGGCCTCGCAAGGAAATACTTTAAAATAATGAGGAAAGATGCTGCTTTTAAACAAAACAATGCCCTGCTTCAATGACAGCGGCGGCTACGGTACCCACAGCCTCACAAAGAGCATCCTCTGACAGCAGCTCTCCTCCCTGCCCTCCCTCCACCTTTTATTTTCCTTTTATAATTCTTTTTTTTCTACTCCAGCATTTGAGAGGCGAAGGAACAAACTGTCCCAGCCCCTCCCCGAAAAAAAAAAAAAAAAAAAAATCCATAAAAGGATCTTTTCTCCAAGGGAAAAAAATCTGAAAATAGCTCCAAGCAACCAAATTCCCAGGTAAAAGCAAAGTGCTGGCAAACAGGGAAGGAGGAGGAGGAGGGAAATAATTCCCAAAGAGGGAAATTTCCCAATAATTCCCCAGGAGGGAAATTTCCCAGTAATTCCCAAGGAGGGAAATACTTCCCACATCTCGGTGTCGGGTTCTGGCTGGGTCTCCACGAAGCAAGATCCTCAAAAATCTGACTGGATTTATCTCAAGTGAGAAAACGGGGCATTTTATTCCTAATTACTGCAGGAAATACATCCTTGGAGCACCGGCAGGAATTTCACCCCCTCACATATTGACAGGAGGAACTTTCTCGTGCGTCCACCAGGCAAAATGCAGCCACTTTTAAAATTTTTATTCATTAAGGGAGGGAACGGCGGAAACAGCCAAATGTCTCCCAAGGTACCAGCGCACTCTTTTTAAGGTGATATGGGCCTGATCTCGTCAAAATTAATGGCTTATGGTTATTCATGCTATTATTCTTAATGGGGCCAAGCATATACTGTACCCAGCAAGGAGCAGTGCTTGACTTGTCCAAGATTTATAGCACATCACGACCTGGCTGGGCTGGCTGTAAAGTATAAAAACTTCATTGCTAATAAGGCTGCTGTGCTCGGAATAAAAAGGAACGAGGAGGAAAAGCGGAGCACCGGCAGGAATTTCTCTGCATTTTCCCCCCCTCACATATTGACAGGAGGAACTTTCTCGTGCGTCCACCAGGCAAAATGCAGCCACTTTTAAAATTTTTATTCATTAAGGGAGGGAACGGCGGAAACAGCCAAATGTCTCCCAAGGTACCAGCGCACTCTTTTTAAGGTGATATGGGCCTGATCTCGTCAAAATTAATGGCTTATGGTTATTCATGCTATTATTCTTAATGGGGCCAAGCATATACTGTACCCAGCAAGGAGCAGTGCTTGACTTGTCCAAGATTTATAGCACATCACGACCTGGCTGGGCTGGCTGTGAAGTATAAAAACTTCATTGCTAATAAGGCTGCTGTGCTCGGAATAAAAAGGAACGAGGAGGAAAAGGTAGAGCAGGATCCCATCCATCCACCCCAGCATCTTCTCCAGCCTGGGGGCTGTCTTGGCCAGAGGCTGCTTATTGGGCACCTTGGTCCATCAGAGGTTAAAGGATGTGGGGAGACAGGGGAGGGACACAGAGCAGGATCCCATCCATCCACCCCAGCATCTTCTCCAGCCTGGGGGCTGTCTTGGCCAGAGGCTGCTTATTGGGCACCTTGGTCCATCAGAGGTTAAAGGATGCGGGGAGACGGGGGAGGGACACGGGGAGAGGGGGAAGGCATGTTAAGAGATGAAGAAGGGACGTGGGGTGATGGAGAAGGGATGCAGGAAGATGGGGAAGGACGTGGGGAGATGGGGAAGGATGAGGGGATACGGGGAATGGATGTGGGAGATGGAGAAGGGATGTTAAGAGATGGAGAAGAGACGTTAAGAGATGGAGAAGGGACATGGGGATATGGAGAAGAGACATTAAGAGATGGAGAAGGGATGTTAAGAGATGGAGAAGGGATGTTAAGAGATGGTAAGGTGATATGGGCCTGATCTCGTCAAAATTAATGGCTTATGGTTATTCATGCTATTATTCTTAATGGGGCCAAGCATATACTGTACCCAGCAAGGAGCAGTGCTTGACTTGTCCAAGATTTATAGCACATCACGACCTGGCTGGGCTGGCTGTGAAGTATAAAAACTTCATTGCTAATAAGGCTGCTGTGCTCGGAATAAAAAGGAACGAGGAGGAAAAGGTAGAGCAGGATCCCATCCATCCACCCCAGCATCTTCTCCAGCCTGGGGGCTGTCTTGGCCAGAGGCTGCTTATTGGGCACCTTGGTCCATCAGAGGTTAAAGGATGTGGGGAGACAGGGGAGGGACACAGGGAGATGGGGAAGGCATGTTAAGAGATGAAGAAGGGATGTGGGGCGATGGAGAAGGGATGCAGGAAGATGGGGAAGGACGTGGGGAGATGGGGAAGGATGAGGGGATACAGGGAATGGATGTGGGAGATGGAGAAGGGATGTTAAGAGATGGAGAAGAGACGTTAAGAGATGGAGAAGGGACATGGGGATATGGAGAAGAGACATTAAGAGATGGAGAAGGGATGTTAAGAGATGGAGAAGGGATGTTAAGAGATGGAGAAGGGATGTTAAGAGATGGAGAAGGGACATGGGGATATGGAGAAGAGACATTAAGAGATGGAGAAGGGATGTTAAGAGATGGAGAAGGGATGTTAAGAGATGAAGGGACGTTGAGCAATGGAGAAGGGACGTTGAGAGATGGACAAGGGACATTAAGAGATGGAGGAGGGACGTTAAGAGATGGAGAAGGGACATTAAGAGATGGAGAAGGGACATGGGGATATGGAGAAGAGACATTAAGAGATGGAGAAGGGATGTGGGGAGATGGAGAAGAGATGTTAAGAGATGAAGGGACGTTGAGAGATGGAGAAGGGACATTGAGAGATGGAGAAGGGACGTTAAGAGATGGAGAAGGGACATGGGGATATGGAGAAGAGACATTAAGAGATGGAGAAGGGACGTGGTGAGATGGAGAAGGGACATGGGGAGGTGGAAAGATGCTACAAGATGCCAGGCTGCTCAATCTTTACAGCAAAATCCATCATTTTGTTCTACATTTATAAAGCAAGTATGATCCCAGTGCCTTATGATGCTGATCCAACCTTCAAACTGGTGCAAACCCCTTTATAAAGCCATTGACCGAGGATCAGAGCCTTAAAAACCCACCTCTGGAAAAACACCCACAACGTGGAAGAGAACTGGATCCCCTGGATGTAACTGGGGGGGTCTCTCTTCACGATGGTCTCTCTATGGCAGAGGCAAAGACATCATGTGAAGACGACTGAGTTTGAAAGGTCATCATCGAGAGCCTCCATCCAAGGTCACGTCCAGAAAATTGCAGATGAAAAACCTGCCCCAACAGGAAAAGAGAGAAATTCAGATGGGGAACCCCCTCGTCACTAAAGCTCAGGAGCTGAAAAACACCTGCACAGCCCGAACAACCACGGAAAGACACGGTGAAACCACCAGGACTTCAGAGGACACAGACAGAAAATCTCCTTAATTAAATAAAGAGAAAGAAAAAGCACGGAAATCTATAAGCTTTGAGAAGCTCCTGGACGCTAATTCCTGACTGCAGAAAAAACACCCTTCCATATGTTTATTAAAAACATATGCCTCTGCCCATTAGGATACGGAGAAAATGATTTTTGTTATTCTTCCACTAGAAAAAAATCATTTTTCGGATTGCGAATGAATATTTCTGTAACAGAAGGAAACCTCCGAGGAAACAGCCTCCTGTAGAAAAGGGTTTGAGTTTCTTCTCTGCTCCAATTGCATAATTTCTTGTTTTTAATCAACGCATTAGTTATTATTAGCCCTACACACACAATAGGCCTAATTGCTTTATTCATTCACAAGAAGAACTGGGAGGAAGTACAAAAAAGGGCAGGTTTAAACCACAGACTGGAAGGTTTAAAAGAAAAGAAAAAGGAAATTTGCCTAGTTTTGATGTCCTAAACGCTCGGGTCCCCTGGTTCATTAGGAGAGAATCAGCTGATGAAGAGCAGAAAGACTGAAAAGCCTTGATCAAAGCCTTAATATTTCAGCATCAGAGCAAGAGAGAGATTTAAATTGTCATTAAACTCGAGTGTTGAGTCCAACCTGCCCAATTATGGGGCTAACACCCCCCCGGCCCTCCCAGCCCGGAAATCCACGATTTTAATGGGAATTTCATGCTGGAATGGGCAGTTCTGGAGCCTGAACTTCCCGACAGACCACAGAGGAGAAGAAAGGAGGGCAGACAGAGGCAGAGCCTTTCCCAGATGGATCAGCACAGCCAATGGGATGCGCAAATTTCCTTTTTCTTTTCTTTTCAACCTTCCAGTCTGCGGTTTAGACCTGCCCTTTTTCGTACTTCCTCCCAGTTCTTCCCAGAGAAGGAGACTCCACCACCTCTCTGGGCAGCCTCTGCCAGGGCTCTGCCACCCTCAAAGTCAAGAAGTTTCTCCTCATGTTGAGATGGAACTTCTTATGGTCAAGTTTGTGCCCATTTCCTCTTGTCCTGTCCCTGGCAAATCCCACTGATTTGCCACCCAAACCCACCAGCCCAAAACCACCTCATTAAAACCCATCTCTGGATGGTTCCTGAGCACCAGGCAACGGAAAACACACGGAGAACAGGAGGATTTAGGTCTTTCACATCTAAAGTGACTTCACAACGCACAGGAAAATCTCCTGGACCCCCCTTGGGTGAATCCCACCCAAGGAGATGACTTCCCTCCTGGATGTTTTAACTCAGGCTTTTCTTTTTGGCTTCCCCAGAGACTCATCAAACCCCCACAGTGACCACAGAAACGAAGAAGTCCACATGGTACCAGCAGTTGGGACACGGGCAACCAGCCCTGAACAAAGGTCTTAAATATACTGTAATTAGTAAATGGGAGAATACCTGTCACAAGCTAATTGCGCTGCCTGGAACTTTCCTCTTAGCAACATCGGAAAATAATGAGTCTTTTGTTAGCAGACACTTGTTCCTTCTTCCTCTTGTCACAGAATCACAGGATGATATGGGGTTGGAAGGGACCTCTGAAGATCGCCCAGTCCAACCCCCTGACAGAGCAGGGCCACCCAGAGCAGGTCCCACACGAACGTGTCCAGGGGGGGTTTGAATGTCTCCAGAGAAGGAGACTCCACCACCTCTCTGGGTAGCCTCTGCCAGGGCTCTGCCACCCTCAAAGTCAAGAAGTTTCTCCTCATGTTGAGATGGAACTTCTTATGGTCAAGTTTGTGCCCATTTCCTCTTGTCCTGTCCCTGGCAAATCCCACTGATTTGCCACCCAAACCCACCAGCCCAAAACCACCTCATTAAAACCCATCTCTGGATGGTTTCCGAGCACCAGGCAACGGAAAACACACGGAGAACAGGAGGATTTAGGTCTATTCACATCTAAAGTGACTTCACAACGCACAGGAAAATCTCCTGGACCCCCCTTGGGTGAATCCCACCCAAGGAGATGACTTCCCTCCTGGATGTTTTAACTCAGATTCACATCTAAAGTGACTTCACAACACACAGGACCCCTCTTGGGTGAATCCCACCCAAGGGGATGACTTCCCTCCTGGATGTTTTAACTCAGGCTTTTCTTTTTGGCTTCCCCAGAGACTCATCAAACCCCCACAGTGACCACAGAAACGAAGAAGTCCACATGGTACCAGCAGTTGGGACACGGGCAACCAGCCCTGAACAAAGGTCTTAAATATACTGTAATTAGTAAATGGGAGAATACCTGTCACAAGCTAATTGCGCTGCCTGGAACTTTCCTCTTAGCAACGTCGGAAAATAATGAGTCTTTTGTTATCTCTGATGTTCCTTCACAAAAACAGACTGTAAAAAAAAAGATCAATTGATGTCCTTTTCGTCCCCAGAAAACCCCTGTGTCGGAGAGGCACGATGTGTGAAATGGCACGAGCTGTTCCCAGTCTCAGCCACGGGGAAACGGACTCTTGTAAATCCCCCAAAGTTACTTAAACCCCACGGTCACCAGAGCCCAGATGGACAGAAAAGTCTTCTCCAGTTTCAGGAGAAGACTCCTGAAGGAGTCTTCAACTCCTCCAGGAGTTGAAGAGGGAAGGGTTTGGCGTTACCCGCAGTGACGGCAACAGAGACCACGGTGGGAAGTCCCCCTGGGCAGAATTGTCCTTAAAATTCATTTATTTGCATCAAAACTCCACCAGATCGATAACGACAGCGCCGTGTCGCCGCGTTACACCCTCTCTCTCTCTTAGATGGGGTTAAAAAAATGCAAGGTTGCTTCTAGGACCCCGTCTTGCTCTTTGGATGGAAGGTTATAAACCTCTCCCCCGATCTCCTGTCGTTTTATTCTGTAATTTGCATTTCGGGAAGGAAAAAAGGAGTCTTTCCATAAGGCTCCAGTGTATAAATCTCAGTTTATTGTTTTCTATCAGGGCAAAATGTTAGTTCTGTGCCAGGTGTCTTGAATTAATAGGCTTCCAGGTTTAAAGGGAGGAGAAAATTGCCAAAAAATGTTCCTGCATTTGTTCCAGTCTTGAAAAGCACCGATTTAATTAATCTTCCTTCATCAGAAGCCGAAAGCATGGGTCTAATTGCAAGCTCAGAAGCATCAGTTGTCCAAGTGATTGGAGAGTAGTTAGAGATGAAAGGGAGTAAAACAAGGCATTGATGGATGGGGGTTTATAAGGAGCTCTGTCTCATTGACTTGACTCGCGAAGCAGTTGGAAATCGGCTACAAAGTAATAAAAGAAAATTAAAACACATAAAGCTTTGTTAAAGTTACGTGGAAAGGCCTGCATTAAACAAAAAAAAAAACAAACCCAAAACCCCAAAAGCGGGGAGCTAAAAGTGAGAAGTAAAACCCATCAGTAAAGACTTAGTGTCCAACGCAAAGCCCTCAGAGATCGAGGGCAAGGTGATACCCTGAGCTGAAGCCCATCACTTGGCCATCAGGTGTTCATTTGGGCTACGAGGTGCCACAGGGCATGTGTAAGTTCTGTGGCCACTTTGGGCAGAAACACCTCGGGTTGGGTGAGCTGATGGGTAAGAACTTGGGACAACAAAGAGGACAGATGAACGTTGGCCCAGGTTGCCCAGAGAAGCTGTGTATGGGTAGGAATTTGGGACAACAAAGAGGGCAAATGAACGTTGGCCCAGGTTGCCCGGAGAAGCTGTGGTTGCCCCATCCCTGGAGGGGTTCGATGGAATTATTGCTTAACTCTGCCTCCTTTGGCTTCAGCCGAAGCTCAGACATGATTTATTTATGTTTAAATCCACATATTTCTAGAGATGAATGCTTTAAAAAGAAAACCTTCGCGTAAAATCCGCATTAAAGATATAATCCAGGAGCATCCTGGCTCCTTATTCCCGCAAAGTTGCGACTGAAAAATGGGGCAGATAACGTGAGCTTTTGTCATTTCTGGCTGAGAAGGCTTCAGGAAGCCAAGACTTTCATGTGAAACGTGTAAAAGGATTTTCTGCCAAACCCTGTGTCTGAGCGAGAATTAAAAAAATATAAAATACCTCAACTCCAGGAAGGGCATCATGTTAAAGAGATGTACAATATCTCCTGGCAGGTCCAAAACCCTCATGAGCTCTAATTTTAAGTTTGCTAAACCTTAAAAAGTTTTATCTTTATTTATATCAGAGCTTGGGTTTTTTTTCCCCCTTCCCTTTGAATACAGTCGCTGTTGGAAAATCCTAGTTATCAAGATTGCAAAATCAGTGATTTAAAAAAAAAAAACATTACAGAGAAGGAGCAGATCAGCTTTTCTGCATTAAAACCACCCCCCTGCAAACCAGAGTGTGGACCCAACCTGGCCACGTGACACAAAAAAGATGGGATTTAGAGAGATTTGCTTGAAAGGTGTGGATTAGAAGAATGGACAGCGAGGTGGGTTGAAAACTGGCTGAAAGACAGAGCTCAGAGGGTTGGGCTCAGAGGGTGGAGAGTTGGGCAGAGAGGAACCTGGTGAAATTCAACCAGGGCAAGTGGAGGGTCCTGCACCTGGGGAGGAATAACCCCATGGACCAGGACAGGCTGGGGGTGACCTGCTGGAGAGCAGCTCTGAGGAGAAAGACCTGGGGGTTCTGGGGGACAACGGGGTGACCATGGGCCAGAAATGGGCCCTCGTGGCCAAGAAGGCCAAGGGTGTCCTGGGGGGCATCAGGAAGAGTGTGAGCAGCAGGTGGAGGGAGGTCATCCTGCCCCTCTGCTCTGCCCTGGGGAGGCCCCATCTGGAGCACTGGGACCAGTTCTGGGCTCCCCAGTTCCAGAAGGACAGGGAACTGCTGGAGAGGGGACAGCAGAGGCTACAAAGATGATGAAGAGCTGGAGCATCTCCATGGTGAAGAAAGGCTGAGGGACTTGG